CCAGTTCTGGGATGGCATAGAGCGCCCGGCTGTCATCATGGTTAGCCAAGAAAGTCACAGCTTCTGTCTGAGATCTCTGAGATATATGTAGACAGTCTTGGGCATCAATCAGCACCTGATAGTAAGTGTGAGTTTTGCCTTTTACCTTCTTAGAGCCATGGCCAGTGGGATGCTCTGTTTTTTCTGGAGCTGCAAAAGCCACATCCGGGTCATAGAGTCTGGCCTGCCAGGGAAATAGGACGACACCTCGGTAGCCAAAAACACTGTGAAGGAAAAGCTGCCCAGTGTCATATTTTCCATTCTGTTTTGGCACCTCAAACACACCAACTGCCTCCAAAACTTTGCCTTCTGGTCGGTTTCCAGATGAGCGGTGCCTCTGTGTGGTGCTCGCCGCTGGTAGGAAGGCCCCAGCTCTGCCTGCCGCACAGAGCTAAGCTGGTTATTTTTAAGAAACAAAAGACTCAGGAAGAAGCTTTGACCTTCCCCCTAACTGCCTAAAAGAACTGATATAGAGGACCTGCTCCAGGAAGGGAGATACCATCACAGATAAGCACAGTTTAATATGAACTAAATGTAACAGACAGGGAGGAACCTTGCAAAGACGGTTTGATCAAAGTCCAATTGTTGGGCTGAAATGGCCCAACAAACATTTGGCTACCAAACATTTGCTTTTCCATGTCCATGTGAATTGCTTTCCTCCCCCTTATTGTATTTAATTAAAAACAATTTTTTTTTATCGACCCGAGAGAGAGCGAGAGAGAGAGAGAGAGAGAGAGAGAGAGAGAGAGAAAAACATTGACTTGCTCTGCTCATCCATACGCTCACTTGTTATGTGCCCTGACCAGAGACTGAACCTGCACCCCTGGCGCATCCAGACAATGCTCTAACCTACTGAGCTACTAGTCCAGGGCGCCTTCCTCCCCTTTAAAGTCCCAAACCACAACCCCCCTTTCTCTGTAGTTCAAGACAGTGTATAAGCCTTAACTGCCTGATTTGTCCTCAGGTCCCAGTTCCTTACATTTATTACAAATGTAATAAATTTGGTTATGTTCTCCTGTTAATCTGTCTCATGTAATTTGTTGTTACACCCGCCAGAAGAATTTGAGTAGAAGAAGAATTTTTCCTCCCCTACACTTTCATAACCAATAAACCTAAGAGGTAGGTACTTTTATTATCATTATCAGGTGAGAAAATGGAGGCCCAAAGAAGTAAAGTGACTTGCCCAGGTCGCACAGCTAAAGCAAGCGATTGCGTCAAGAACTGAACCCAGGCAGTCTGTCTCCAGGGGCTACACACTTACCCACTATATTATTATACTGACTCTCACTTGTAAATGACCTCAGATGAGCCTTAAGCATATCAGTAAGGTGGGTTTTCTTACCTCAGAAAACAAAAACTTGGAGAGGTTAAGTAACCTACTCGAGGTCACAAGGGTAGGGAGCATGGGAGAGCTGGGGGAGGAGGCAGGATACTAATCCGGGTCTTACTGACTCTAAAGTACACAACTCTATGTTACTTTTGTCCGGCTCTTGCTAGAGGCTAGGGGACTAGGGCATGAACCAAACCAGGCCTCCCCAGGAGCCTACATCTCAGCCGCTGGCCGATACAGGGAGTTCCTCCCCTCAGGGCTCATAGATCGTAATGCCTGGTATTTTTCCTGTTTAGACTTTATCATGCTTACATTGCTTTTTGATTTTTCCAATTATCTTTCCACCAAATAGATAATTACATTAGCAATCAGAAGCTTTTCTCAGTATCTTCACATAGACAAATCTAGTTAATTTTAACTGGTATAAATTAAAATTACTTTTTTCATGTCTTTAGCTCATCTCTGAAAAATTTGGCCATAAAGAAGAACTTGGGCCGGGCCAGCATGGCTTTGTGGTTGAGCATCAACTAGTAAACCAGGAGGTCGAAGTTCAGTTCCCCGTCAGGGCACATGCCCAGGCGGCAGGCTCCATCCCCAGTAGGGGGTGTGCAGAAGGCAGCCGATCAATGAGAGCTTCTCTCTCATCATTGATGTTTCTCTCTCTCTCCCTCTCCTTTCCTCTCTCTGAAATCAATAAAAACATATTTTAAAATATATGTATATAACTTATTTTAAAATAATGGAAAAACGTCTTTCTTTAAGGACTATATTTTCAAATGTTTAATCTTGGACTCATTCTTGCTCTTGCTTAGAACTGTCAAAAATGGGGTCCTCTCCTATGAGCCCATAAAACTCACTAAGAGGCANTAAACTGTTTTTAATTTTTAAATTAATTTTGTTCAAATTTCTTTTGTCTTGCTTTGCTTGCTTTTTTGATTTGTTTTTTTTTTTTTTTTTTTTTTTTATAAAATTTTTTTTTTTTTTTTTTTTTTTTGCGCCACGGTGCATGGCTCAGCAGTTAAGCATTGACCTAGGATCCAGGAGATTGTAGTTTGATTCCTGGTCAGAGCACATGCCCGGGTTGCAGGCTCGATTCCCAGTCGGGGGCGTGCAGGAGGCAGCTGATCAATGACTCTCACCATTGATGTTTCTCTCTCTCTCCCTTCCTCTCTGAAATCAATAAAGACATATTAGAAAGAAAGAAAGAAAAAACAAAAGAAAGAAAGAAAGAACATATGTCCATTGTCCTGTAGTTTTGCAAGCATTTTTATGCAGCAAGTAGGGGAGAGCAAGAGTAAGCCTGTCTGAAAGGATATTAGCTATTAGACAAAGGGACGGGAGTTGTAGGGGGCAGATTGGAAAATTCATGTGTAAATAAGAAGCGGTAACTCCTAGGGTTTTAAGGCGCCTGGATATTGTCTCTTTGGGATAATCTCAGAAATAGCCACCTGGAAATTAATCCTAAATTCCAACAGGTATGCAGGAACGTGAGCAGTCTTTCTGTGAGAGCTGGTCCACAGCTATTAACAGGTTAAAGGTTTGGTTTCGTTTCTTTTTCTCACTCTCCGGCTGCTGTAATTTTAATTTAGGACATCTCAGAATTTTTTCTTGCCCGCGTTCTTGCAACCCTCCTCACCATCGCTTTGGTGCCGAGGACTCTGAATTCCCTGCCTGTTTCCACCCTGGAGTGGGTCTCTTCCTTGGGCCTGTCCTTTTGGGTCTGTCAGGGGATGACAGCTCACAGGCGAGGGGGAGACTAGGACTTGCATCTGTGGCCACACCCATGCACAAATCCCCTAATTCAGGATGGGGTTGGGGCTGAGAAGAGAAGGGACTGGGCTGAGCGCTGGGCTGCTCTCCCCAAGTTGTCACCTTCGGCACAGAATTCCGAGAAGCCTGAGAATTCCAAACTGGAGCCTGACCTTCATGATGGTACACGCGTCAAGGACAGAGGATAACACACTTTATTCTTTAACAGTTTGCTAGACTGCTTTAAAAGTTTATCAATATTTAGACTACGGTATGCGAACATCTCTTTATATTATTTCATTTATACGGCATGTCCAGAATAGGCTAATCCACAGACAGAAAATAGATCAGTAGCTGCCAGAGGCTGGGGGGAGAGGAGGGAGGAGTGCAGTGCTGGTGAGTCTGTACATCTGGGAAGCCTGTGCATTGCCCGCCTGTGTGTCTCTGTATTTTGATGTATGTTGTGTACACAAAAGGGTATTTCAGTGCATGAAGCTACTATGTAGTCATTGACTCTCCAAGTGACTGTGGGGCAGGGCTTGGGGCCGGGCAGGCAGGGGCTGGAGCTGGAGGGGGTGCAGACAGAACCTGAGAGATCAGACCTGCCTCCTGCGAGCTTGGGGTGCACTTGCGTCTGCACAGGGCCGGTTATCAGAGCGGAATGCAGCGCAGCTCAGCCGCGCCCCAGCCACCTCTGCCTGCGGGAGGATTACTGCCCTTCTCCAGATGTCCCGGCTCAGTCTGTTCATCCTGAGGGCTGAGCTAGCTGTGCGCGGAAGGTGCCTCCAGCCAACCCTGCAGAGCCGGTGCTGTCAGAGGAGCCTCGCGGCCGAGGGAGCGCGCTCGGGAGGCAGGGAGGGCCTCCAGCCAACCCATATTTAGTGCAGCGCCTGACGGTGCGAGGGCGCAGGCATGGAAGCAAGAAACGGTACTTTTAAAAAATGTTTTTATTGATTTCAGGGAGAGGGAGAGAGAGAGAAACATCGAGGATGAGTCAGTGACCGGCCGCCTCCTGCGCGCCCCCTGCTGGAGATCGAGCGCGCACCGGCGCGGGCCCCGCCCCGGAATGCAGCCTGACCGCCTGGTTCTCGGGCTGGCGGCTCAGCCCCTGGGCCGCCTCCGCGGGGCTGAAACTGTTTTGTGACCAACTCCCGCCTCCGGAGCTCAGCTTCCTCCGTTCCAGCAGAAACGCTTTTTTTCTAACCTTCCGGCGCCCGCCCCAGATCGGATCACGTGCCAGGCGGCGCCCGCGGTTGCTATGGAGCCCGAACGGGTCAAGACCGGAAGTGGTCCCTGAAATTACTTCCCCAGGAAGCTTGCGTTGGAAACACAATGCGGTTCTTATTTGCTTTTTGCCTAAACTCATAGAGGTGCAAACTCTCGCTTTCAGCACAAAACGACGCTCTAATGAACAGAGTGAACTAACAAGCAAAATAGAGGCAGAGTACTAGACGGAGAGCAGGCTGACCGTTGGGGGCGGGGAGCAGGGAGGAGTTAAAGGATTGAGTAAAAAAAGAAAAAAAAGCAACAGCTCTTGGACGAGGGCAACAGTGTTGTAATGCTGGGCAGTGGAGGAGGGTTTAGGGGGGATAGATGGTGATGGAAGGAGACTTGACTTGTGGTGAACACAATACAGTGTACAGATCATTGTGCACCTGCAACCTGTATAATTTTGTTAACCAGCGTCACGCGAATAAATTCAATGAAAAGAAAAAAAAGAAAAGAAAACCATAAAAAACACCAGGATACTCTCAAGAGAAACTCCCACTCCTGCAGCGGCGGAAGCACGGCGGAACCAAGAAGCCCAGCGCACCGGTTCTCCGGGGAGCGCTTCTCCTGACGGACCAGCCCCGCCCCGCCCCCGCGGGGTTGCCGTGGAGACAGCGAGCGGTGGAAGCGGAGAAGCGCCGGCCTAGCCTTTGCTGTCTGTTTGCAGGGCGGACTCACAGGACCGAAGCCAATATGGTTAGTGGCTCTGAACAGTGAGGGAGGACTTTGAGTATATATCCTGGGGCTGGAGATTCGAGGTGCCCAGCACACCGTTGGGAAAAGTCTAGGAATGTCGGCGGAGGATGATCTCCCTGCGTTGCCGGTGTCCCCACCTGGGACAGGGATGCAGCTGTAAATACCTCGCTGCTGTCTTGCCTCCTGCTCCCGGCTCCCCCCCCCCGAGCTGCGCGTGGCATGGAGAGCAGACCAAGGAAAGGAAGGCTGAGATGACCGAAGCTGCACGAAAGCATCTCTTCTTGCCTCACTCTAATTGGGAAAGATAAAGAAGTTGGGAGTAGCTGTTTGGTTCAGTGCCGTAGGGGGAGATGGCCCTTTTGTTGATACTTGTTACCAAAAGAGTTTCATAGGCTTCCCTGGGGTTGGTTGTGGAGGATTTGACTTGGAAATCCTGGAGCTGTCACTGTGTTTAAAACTGACCATCATAATTGGGTCATACAGCTTGTCTCTGTTGTTTCTCTCACAGATGCTTTCAAGGGCCAAACCTGCTGTAGGCGGGGACCTGCTGCACATGGACAAGAGAAAGAAGAAAGGCAGGAAGGTGCCAAAACTAGAGGAGCTCCTTTCACAGAGAGATTTCACTGGAGCTATTACCCTGTTGGAGGTAATGTCCAAAGAAGGTTGCTTCTTAGGAGAGAAATACCATAAAGGTGGATGAATGCTTGGGAGAATGCTGGTTGCTCTGCTGTTGGACAGGTGGGTGCGTTCTGGACCTTTATGTAAATCTAGTCAGGCATAGATTCCAGTTTCCAAGTTGACTATACATTTGATGAGAGATGAACTAAAAATCTAGGCATTTCTTGAGGGACACTTTAAAATTTTTTTTATTGATTGATTTTAGAGAGAGAGGAAGTGGGAGGGGGGGAGAGAGAGAGAAACATTGATGTGACCCCCCCTAGCTGGTTTGGCTCAGTGGTTAGAGAGCATCGGCCCTTGGACTGAAGGGTCCCAGGTTCGATTCTGACCAAGGGCACGTACCTCGGTTGCAGACTCGATCCCCGGCCCTGGTCCAGGCTCATGCGGGAGGCAACCAATCGATGTGTCTCTCTCACGTTAATGTTTCTCTCTTTCTCTCTCTCCCCCCCTCTACTTTCTCTGAAAAACAATGGAAAAAATACCCTCGGGTGAGGATTTAGAAAAAAGAAAAAGAATCATCGATGTGAGAGATACATCTATCAGTTGCTTCCCATTGAACCTACAACCTGAGCATGTGCCCTGACTGGGAATCGAACAGGTGACCTTTTGGCATGAGACTGTGCTCAACCAACTGAGCCACACTGACCAAGGCTCACTGATTGATTCTTGTATGTACCCGGACCAGGAATTGAACCTGAAACTTTGGCACGTTGGGACTGCACTGTAACCAACTAAGCTATCTGGCAAGGGCTTGAGGAACACTTTTAATTATGCCTAGTCCCACTGATGGCGAATCCAACCTAAAAATATGGAGGGTCATTTATTTTCTTATTCTTTTATTTTTTAAAATATGTCTTTATTAATTTCAGAGAGAGGAAGGAAGAGGGAGAGAGAGGGAGAGAAACATCAATGATGGGAGAGTCATTGATGGGCTGCCTACTGCACGCCCCCTACTGGGGATTGAGCCCGCAACCCGGGCATGTGCCCTGACTGGGAATCGAACTGCGATCTCCTGGATCCTAGGTCGATGCTCAACTGCTGAGCCACACTAGCCAGGTGGAGGGTCATTTAATACAGTGTCAGTTTTCTCATTGTTTATCCCAACCCCCGACCAACTTATGATTTATATGTCATAAAGTTTTGATTAAATTTAAATCTACCATGCTTGATGCTTATTATCTAAAATACTAAATGTTCAGAAAATATTCTAATCTCTATCACACTAGTTCTCAATTTTAATATATATCAGAATCACCTAGGATGCTTATTAAAATCTATATTTCTGGGCTTCTGCCGTAGGGATGCTGACTCTTTGCAGAGTCGGTCTACAATGGTGCTCAGAAACCTGCATTTTAGGCAAGCAGCCTAAGTGTTTCTGATGTAGATGATCCAAGGACAGTGCACTCTGAGAAACTGCCTTGTGGGAAGCACATGCTATGGGAGACTGCAGGGGTCCACCAAATGTAGAGGTGATATTGGACAGCAAGCCTGGTTATGTTGCACCACAGTCATTTCTCCAAAGCACTATTCCAGACTTATTACTCAAAATCTATCAACAATAATTGTTTTAATTAGCTTTATATGTCTTTCTCAGTCTTCCATGGATAGTTCTACATTTTTTCCTAGTGATCTGGGATTGAGCACATGGTTTAAATTTTTTTGTATCAGCCTTCTCATCTTTATTGTTATTATTTTTTTAAAATCCTCACCTGAGGATATTTTTTCCATTGCTTTTCAGAGAGAGTGGAAGGGAAAGAGAGAGACAGAGAGAAACACTGATGTGAGAGAGGCACATGGATTAGTTGCCTCCTACATGCCCCCTGACCAGGGTCTGGGATCAAGCCTGCAACCGGGGTATGTGCCCTTGGCTGGAATTGAACCTGAGACCCTTCAGTCCACAGGCCGATGCTCTATCCACTGAGCCAAACCAGCCAGGGCAGCCTTCTCATCTTTAAAGTAGAGGAGTTAGAAGGACCTTCTAGTTCTGTAAATTAGCAGACTGAGTGGTGTGTATATGTCTAATTTTTTTTGTCAGTCTCTGTTTCTCTTCTCTCTCTTCTTTAAGCCAGTAACCGCATTGTGCAATCCTTATGGTGTAATCCCACTCTGCCTTTAAGTAGAAGTGCCACGATGTATGGGAATGGGAACTTCATGGTAGGGATAAGGAATTCTCATGAACTTTCCTTAATTCCTGGGATAAATTCAGGGAGACCTCAAATAAGAATTTCTTCAGAACTGAGACACTGAACTTAAATTCACAGCATTTTGTGAGAGGAGGATTTCCAATTTGATGGAGTTAGCTACAGGAGTAAGTTATCATCCCAGTCAAGAAAGTATCAAAGAATGCCTCCATCTTATAATAACTAAAGGCACCCAAAGGTCTGTAGCAATGATATGTAAATACATGTTTCACTATTTAATTTTTCATCCATGTTTTATTATTTTATTTTATTTGTTAATTTTTTTAGAGAGGGAGGAAGGCAGAGAGAGAAACATCGATTTGTTGTTCTGCCTATTCATGCATTCATTGATTGATTCTTGTATATGCCCTGACCGGGGATCGAACCTGAGACCTTGGTGTATTGGGATGACGTTCTAACCAACTGAGCTATGCAGCCAGGGCCTCACCCATGTTTTTTATTTATCACCCTGTGGAGTGAAAACCTCTCTCTTTACCAAGGTATTTCAGACTCCTCCTTCAGGGTTCAGTCCTTTCCTCCAAAAGGACTGTAGAATTCATAAATATTTGTTGACTGTAGAATTCATAAATGTTTGTTCATAGTGGACATATGATGCCAGTCTTCTGAACATCTTTAATTCTCGTAGGTGCTAGTAAACCCATTCAGCGGTCAGAGAGTGATTTAGTGGCTTGTCCTCAGTAAACAGTTATAACTTATGAGTAAGTATGTATGCACACTAATGGGACAGGTTTGACGCATGAAGCTGAATGCAGTAGAGCACGGAGGGTAAGAACATGGGATTTGGAGTCAAACATTATTTAAGTCCCTGCCACCACACTTACTGGCTATGAGGCCTGGAGCTTACCACTTCATCTCTCTACTTTCAGTTATTTGGGACTAAATATTTCACATAATTCTTATGTTTTTATATATCACCCAGAATTGTTATGAGGATAATGCTTAAATACTTTCTGGGGTGAGGTGTCAGTAAATACAGAAAAATAAATGTGAAATGTTTGAAAATATAAATTTCTGTGACAATTAGAAGGTAATCATGATGAGTTCTGTAGGTATCAGTTTAATTAAACTGAGTATTGACTTGTTTCTATTACTTGTGATTTTTTATTATGTGTCAGTAACTTAATGTAGCATTTTTAAAAACAGAGGGCTTGCTTTTAAAAGTTTTCCATGGTTTTTCCCCCTGAAATTTTAACCTGAAGTTTAAACGTCATGTTGGGGAACAAGAAGAGGATACTAATTTGTGGACTGGATACTGTGCTTTTCACCTGGGTGACTACAAGAGAGCTTTGCAGGTTAGTAAAAAGAAAGGGAAAATTTACAACAGAAGGGCTTTGAAAATATTATTAAGCTCTGTATTATAATAATACATGCTCATGATAAAATTCAAACAATATAGGAGGGGACAAAATAAAAAGAAAAGTAGCCACCTTGTCTGCTGTCCCCAATTCTGCTTCTTTGTTGATGGAGACAACCATTGGCTCTTTGCTCACGTGTTACTTGAGAAATCTTTATATGTTCACATATGTATATATGTCTTGCTGACTTTTTGCTTTAGACATAAATTAATGAGGTTGTACAGCACAGTAACATTAGTATTACTTAAGTAAGTCTTCAGGAGAGGAAAAATAAACCATTTTGATAGAAAAGCTTTCATGAGTCTTTTCTCAAAAGAAGTTCATTTTTATTTATATTTTGTTTGGTTATTTTTAGACATAGGAAAGATTGCATTACCTTTATATTTTTGCAAGTATAGTTTTGAAGTTGTTTTCTTTGTCATTGTAAATCCTATCTAATGAACAACTTATAGGATTATGGATCTAGATAAAATTATAGATTCCTTATGTCAAACAATTTTTTTTAAGTTCATGGATGAAATTGTTTAAACATTTCCCAGATATTCTTACTCCCAAAGTGTAATCTAAGGATATTTAAAGAACCTGCGTAACTAGAATGAAAGTATCCAAGATCAGGTAATGTGGTGAGATGAAGAACAAAAGCAGCAAAATTCGTGCAGGACAAGGGAGGATGTGGAAAGGACACTCTCGAGGCTGGTAGCATCTGTGAAATGCGGGAGAAAGGAGAGTAGCCCAAACATAGTAAAAAAGATGAAGGCATCTGGTATAGACTGATAAGTAACAAGAGTACATGGAAAGTGTGGTTGGCAAAGTGAATCTCAGAAACCGCAGGAAAAAAAATAAGCTTTTCAAAAATGCAAAACCAAAGAAAGTCAGAAAACACTTAAGAATGAAATGAAATTTATAGCGTAGTAAGGCTATCAGTCTTTAAGTTAACTGAGCCTATGCATTTTTATAAAGTATCTTTTGTATGTCTTTTTAAGTTAGTTAAAATAAAATATTTTCATTAATTTTCATTTCTGCAGTTTGTTAGCTCATATCAATGTTAAGAAGGGGAAAAAAACCAGCGTAAGATGCTATGGACCACAGCCCTGCATGGGTGGGGCTGAGCTTTAGCTGCAGTGTTTAACCTTACAGGTAGAGAATAATTGAGCCTGTAGGACTCCCTAAGTGGGAAGTTGTCCAGTCTCAGTAAGAAAGCCTATTCCATTGTAGAAGGATGGTCCTTCTGTTGCTGAAATGACATCGCCTCTTAATACATATTTCAGGAATATGAAAATGCGACAAAGGAAGAAAATTGCAATCCTGAAGTCTGGGTGAATCTGGCCTGTACCTACTTTTTTCTTGGAATGTATAAGCAAGCTGAAGCTGCTGGATTCAAAGGTAAAATGGGCCCCTTTAATGTCTGGCATTCATCTCTAATCCTAAGAGTCATTTTGGAGATTTAAAATTTTATTTAATTCCTTTTCCTGTTGACAAACAATCAAGTGATATTAGAAAGCTACAGACTAGCTTTACTCTTCTAAGAATATTGGGCTTGAGCAAATTTATGTTTAAAGAAAGAGTTAATCTTTTGTGCTGCCCCCCC